CTAGTCTTAAGTTAGGAAAAAAAGGAACCTCTTAGGAAAATATTGAAGCTGAAGGCTATATGACTTTATGTTTAGTATAATTGATCTTGCTTAGAATTGGCTTTCTCTATAGCAGAACTTTTCCATCTGAATTGGCTTAAAAACAAACAAAAAACATAGTTTAAACCGGTTCCAAGCCCCCGAGAAAAACCAAATGGGGTCCTCTAGCTCAGGGTCCTCTAGCTCCCAGCCCTGCACCACCCTCCAATGCATGATGGCCACTTTCAAAGCGGGGTTTTCAGGACAATATGGGGAAAAATTAACACCGGGAAAACTTCGCACATTGTGTGAACTAGAGTGCCCGTCGTTTGGAATGAGGTAGCCTGACGCTGGGACCTACAACCCAAAAATTGCCCAGGCTGTACGGAAAGTGGTCGCAGGAACTCCTGGACACCCGGACTAGTTTCCATACATTGACCAATGGCTGGATTTAGTCCAACAACCCCCTCCGTGGCCGAAATGCTGCATAAAACAGGCTGGACTTCAGGTCATGTTAGCCGGCCCAAAGAAGGCCCCTACAGCACCAGCCGTTGTCCCCACCCCAGCAGAGAATCTAGAGTTACCTCCGCCTTACTTTAGACTCTCTGGACAGGGGTCCCAGCACCCCATTCCAGACAGCACTGGTAGCCAATCCTTGTCCCCACTGCATACCCGCAGTGGGGCCCCACACCCACCCAGGGTTCTTCCCTCCGAGAGGCACCGCCGGTGGAAGGCAGTAGCCAGGGTCACCCATTCTTTGTCCACATCCCCTTCTCTTCTAGTGATTTATACAACTGGAAGGCTCAGCACCCGCCTTCTCTGAAAAGCCTCAGGCACTCACAGGACTCCTGGAGTCCATTCTGCAGACTCACTGCCCCGCTTGGGATGACTGTCAGCAGTTACTTCTCATTCTGTCTACCACCGAAGAGAAAAGCAGAATTAAACAGGAGGCGCCTAACGCCATTATAGGTCCGGTAGGAGGTACAATAGAGGAGAAGCGGGACCGGATTAAAGACATTTTTCCCTCTACCTGACCCCAGTGGGACCCCAACATCTCAAGGGTCACCAGGCTCTGAACACTTTTCACCGGTATCTTTCAGCAGGGGTTAAGGGGGCGGCTAGGAGGCCCACACCCAGGCCCATCCTGATATGTGAGTACACCCCCCATGGGCACCGAGGAAGAACTGTCCAGACCCCAGACACAACCAGTGCCTGAAGAATATCTTAGTTTATAGTGATAATACTCAGCTGTTTCCTTTATATGACCCTGCATGTGATCGGAGCTATACTGATACATTTAGTGCTGATTTATAAAATCCTACTATATAACTATATAGTAGCTTATAGTAGGAAGAATGCCTATAGCAGTCACAGAGCAGAAGCAGTACATAGAAAACAGCCAGACCATGACTAGAACCAAAGATCCAGGCGGTGGCATCCCTGCCTGAAAGGGCATACACTGTTGGGCAGGCCTGAAGCAAGTGCCTCTCCTCCTGATGGAGGAGGTATAGTACCTTGCATCCAGTTCCTGTGGGAAGTAGGCCTCAGGCCTGAGATCTTGGAAGTAACCGAGGGAGAAGAACCCCTCTGGTGTGTGACCAGTGACAGGGGCCTGTTAGTCTTTTCTCACTTCTGTGCTAGCTCAAAGAATCCTCCCATAAATATCTTAAGAAAAAAGCACAAGTCTGTCAGCTCCCATTACATTAAGCTTACAATATCCTTCTATTAGGAATCCTTTAAAATCTCCAGCCCCCTACTGTGCATAGCCCACCTCCCTGCCTGGGTGACATAATAGGGTGGCCCCCTCACTTGTAACTCTGCCAACCCCAATTCTATCCCCCCAGGATGGTGGATTCTGCCAGACACAAGGATTGTGATCCCCTATGCTCTAGGATGGGCTCTAGTTAAGGCCACACACACACCAGGCCACACACTTAGGACAGACAAAACTAACTGAGCTGCTGAGGGCCAGATACCACATTCCACATCTACATGAATTTGTCAGGGAAACTACAGCTCGATGTGCTGTATGTGCCAGGGTAAACCCAGGAGGCAATAGGTCTAGTCAGGCAGGGATAAGACTCAGGGGTACTAGCCCAGGAGAACACTGAGAGGTAGACCTTACTGAAATAAAGCCCCCCAGCATGCGGCTATAGATACCTCCTTGTGTTTGCAGACACCTTCTCTGGATGGGTCAAGGCATTCCCTACGAGGTCTGAAACCGCACTGGAAGTAGCAAAAAAGTTGTTAGGGGACCTGGTTCCTCGGTTCGGCCTGCCCCTGACTCTGGGATCACATAATGACCTCTCTTTCACAGCACAAGTTTCTCAGGGCCTGGCCAAGGCCCTAGATGTATCCTGGAAACTACACTGTGCCTGTCGCCCCCAGAGTTCAGGACAGGTTAAAAGAATGAACCAGACCATAAAAGAAACCCTAACAAAGTTCATCGTAGAGACCGTCGAAAACTGGGTCAGCCTGCTCCCTTTTGTCCTCCCCAGCGTCCGATGCACCCCCTACCAAAAAGGCTTCTCTCCCTTTGAAATTATGTTTGAGAGGCCCCCTCCGTTACTCCCAGACCTGCGGATACCATACATGCTGAAGTCCATAACCATGCACTCCTTAAGTCCTTACAGGCACTCCAGTCTGTTCAGTCCCAGGTAAACCGGCTCATTAAGAACACCCGCCATCCCACCCCGGTGGACCTCACTGTCCAACTGACGCACCCCTTCCAGCCCAGAGACTCGGTCCTTGTTAAAAGATTCACCACACCTCTGGCCTCACCCCCTGTTGGAAGAGACCCTACACAGTAATCCTGACCAACCCCACTGGACTCAAGGTGGACAGACTAACAGACCGGATTCACCACACCAGCGTCAAGACTGCCCCACCAGAAGGACAACGGAGCATAGACCAGTCCTACCTATTCACTAAAGCTAAGACTTGGGAATTGTACCGCCTCTGCTATCTCCATCCCTTGCTGCCATCACCCCCTTAACTGAGGAAGCCCCCCTTGTCTCCACTATTACTCCCTCCACTCAGCCCCCAAGGACCCTAACTTCAACTGTGGAAAGCCGTAACCTCCTAGGTTTACTGTCTTCTTCTCACCACCTGCTCAACCTAACCAACCTGGGTTTGGCTATAGACTGCTGGGTATGTTTAAATCCTCAACCTCCATTTTACACGGGCCTAGTGGCACAATTTGCTTTAACCCTGTCTAACACTCCGTGCTCTCGAAAAATACTCCATTTAACTCTGGGAGATCTCGAAAGAAAGGGTAAATGTTTCCACTCCCCTGTTTACGCCCTCCCCAATTCCCCTTACAAACACTTCTGTAATAAGACTCTTCCCCTAAGTTACAATGGGACAAATGTTTCCTAAAACAGGGAGGGCTCTACACTGCCCTCAGTGAACAATGCTGTTTTTATGCCAGTAAGACAGGCCTTACCCGGGACAGCCTCTCCTTAGTCAGACAAAATTTAGAAACCAGAAAATGGCTCTGGAAAGCCTCAGAAAATTGGTATCAAAAATTGTTCTCCTGGTCCCCATGGCTCACTTCCCTGCTTACTGCAATAGCGGAACCTCTCATTCTACCTATAGTGGGAATCATGTTTGGACCTTGCCTCCTCAACAACTACTCAACATAATCCAGTCAAGAATCAGATCCCACTATGAGCCCATGGACCAAACTAAGCAGTCCCCCCAAATACAAGAATCGACGATTTGATTCAATGTACATAAAAACGGGGGAATGTGCCATAGCTAACCCAGAGTTAGAACCTAAGCAACGCCATCTTAAACCCTGTGCCCTGCAAGCACCAAGAAAACTGGTTTTTCCAAAAATAAGTTGTAACTGCCGCCCCGTTTCCTTTGTGGTAACTGCTTGCTGCCCGTTTTCCTTGCAAGAGCTGCTGACCTTGGCTTCTGTAAATAGAAACAGCGGGCTTGCTGTAAAGCGGCTTGCCCCGCATCCCCTCACCCTCTTGTCCTAAAACTAGGATGTGGTTTTTCAGTTTAAAGACCCTGCTTCCCCCGGGGCCGCGGGTTGCAGAGACGTGAGTCCTCTGTGGCCGCCGGAATAAAGACCCTGCAATTCGGCATACTTTTGTCTTGGTGTTGACGTCCGTGCTCGCTCCAGTACATCACCTGCAGTCCTGTTTATAGGGGCATAGTTAGAGCTGCCTCAGCAGTGGAGGCCGGCTACTGGAATGGCGGGCTGCCTGGCGATGGCGGACCTCCTCCTCGGCGGGCTGCCTGGCGATGGCGGACCTCCTCCTCGGCGACGGGCTGCCTGGCGATGGCGGACCTCCTCCTCGGCGGCGGGCTGCCTGGCGATGGCGGACCTCCTCCTCGGCGGCGGGCTGCCTGGAGATGGCGGACCTCCTCCTCGGCGGCGGGCTGCCTGGGCGATGGCGGACCACCTATGGCGGACCACCTCCTCGGCGACGGGATGCCTGGCGATGGCGGACCATTTCCTCAGTGGCGGGCTGCCTGGGCGATGGCGGACCTCCTCCTCGGCGACGGGCTGCCTGGCGATGGCGGACCTCCTCCTCGGCGGCGGGCTGCCTGGGCGATGGCGGACCACCTATGGCGGACCACCTCCTCGGCGGGCTGCCTGGCGATGGCGTACCACCTCCTCGGCGGGCTGCCTGGCGATGGCGGACCACCTCCTCGGCGGCGGGCTGCCTGGGTGATGGCGTACCACCTCCTCGGCGGGCTGCCTGGCGATGGCGGACCACCTATGGCGGACCACCTCCTCGGCGGGCTGCCTGGCGATGGCGGACCACCTATGGCGGACCACCTCCTCGGCGGGCTGCCTGGCAATGGCGGACCACCTCCTTGGCGGCGGGCTGCCTCGGCCATGGCTGACGCCCCTCCCCCACAGAGCTGGACTGTGGCGGGTTCAGCTGTGCTTGCCGTGAAACTCTCAATCCAGAGTGTTTCAGATTGCTGGTCTTTGTGGGGGTGGGACTGGCCGTCACCTGGCTCCCTGCCTCAGACCCCCTTTTTTTTTTTTTTTTTCAGTTGAATGGGCGACTCTCTCCCAGGTGTTCCAGTCGCCAGTTGAAAAGGCGCCGGGATTTGTGTGCCACTTTGTGCGGCTGCGCCAGCGTGCTGGGGACTCGTCGCGCTTTTCCACCCAGGAATCTCCTGGCCTCGCTCCCTGTTTCAGTCACCTTTTATTCAGTTGCAGGCCACCCTGTCTCCCAGGCATTCCAGTCACACTCTAGCTGGGAGCTGCAATCCAGAGCTGCTCCTACTGGGCCATCTTGGATCCCCCCTCAGTTCCACTTTCTTAACCACCACATGTGGTAAGGATTACATAAGAATATTTAATAATTTAATAAGTTCTTAAAATAGTGCCTAGCATATCGTAGATACTATATAAGTGTCAGCTTTATTATTATTAATAGACCATGAAACCACTTTAAAAGGAAACATGGCTTTTTCAGCACTGCATGTATAACAGACACTCAAATTTCTCTATAATATTATTTAAACTTTTTCAGTGATTCTAGGTATGAAATACTTAAACATGGAGGAATTATGAGGATGGATAACTTTATTTAATATTAAGTCGTATTTAATATTAAATACTAAATGAAATATTTAAGTCCCTACCATATATATGGCAAAATGTTAAAACATTATAATATAAAGACCTGTGATATCATCCACTAAGATATTCACAATATAGACACTTTGTAAATAAAAATGTAAACAATGGCAGCCCCAAATACTATATAGTTGTATTAAAATTGTATTTTAAATTTTAATCATATTTTTAATCCTATTATCTCTCTCTTGCTCTTTTGCTCCGGCTTCTTTCTTTCCCAAATGTATTAACTTATTTGAAATTAAATAATTTGAGTATTTATTCCTTTACATTTCTCCACAAAAAAGTCTAAAACTGGATGAGGCAATTGTTACATAATTCTACAAATTTACCAGAAATCATAAAATTAGACATGTAAAACAGGTGAATTTTATGGTATGTAAATTATACCTCATAAAGCTATTTAAAAAAATTTATCCACAAAACTGTGTCTCAGACTCTCCGTTGGAAAGTGGTTTTAATGCCTAGTTAGTGTTGTTTCCCCACCTTCAAGCTAACGCCTCATTTCTTAATTCAGCAGAGGTAGTGACCACCTAAACTTCCCCTCCAGCCTTCCCCTCTAGCACTGACCCAGCCTCTCAAGAGAACTCTGGGGAAAGCGACTGTCGTTCTATTTTGAGACCTATTCACCCTCTAACATCTCTACTTAGATGGACAGGGGTTGAGTGTTCAGGATGATCGGGTTTTTTGCCACCTGAAAACCGGAATAAAGCAAACAGCCTTTTCCTGAGACCGTACTGAATAGTTTTTAAATGATAAAGATTTTCAATTACCTTTGTCATACGGTGAATGAGAACCAGTAACCTCAGGGTGAAAGGCTATAACTGTTGTGCTAAATTCTTTGAGCATCTGGACCTCTCCATTAGAACAGAAACAATTTCCCTGAATCCGAAACCTACCTGAAAGAACTGGCAATTTTTATTTCACTCAAAGCTGCAGGCTTCCTTTATGCCTCTATGTTATCTGTAATGATTATTTTATGTCTGAAATTTTTACTACTCCTTGATTGTTTCTTATTTGAAATATTTGCAAGCGTTTTAGGCATAAAATTGTGTAAGAGTGGATTTGATAACCGAGCTTATCAAGTTGAAGTTATTTTCAAAGAAGACTAGGGTGTCTTCAGGATAGTAGCTAATAATAATACACAGTGTCTTCTACAGTCTGGGCACTGTTCAACTCTGTGTGTTTGTGTATTTTAATATAAAGTTATATATGTGTTTGTGTGTATTAACATAAAGTTTAATTTGTGTGTATATTTTAACATAAAGGGTATGCGTGTGTGCATGTGTGTATGTCTGTGTAAAATCCTGTGAGAAAGGTACATAGAGTCCAAGAAAATTACATAAGTTGATGCACCTAGCAGGAGTCAGAATTTGAACCCAGGTAGATCTTTTGCAAAGTGCATGCTCTTAAGAACTGTTTTATACTGCGTCTCAGAAAGATGAATATGAAAGATAATGGCATTTTTGCTATGAATTTAAGACAAAAGTCAGACAAGCAAATTTTAAAAGACTGTGAATCTATTAACTTTACGCTAGTGAAACCCAGGTCCCTGACAAACTCAACCAATCCAGGAAAATGTGGTGGTGCTGTGTTCAGGGGGATTATCAAATATAACTTAAATAACGAGGCCCGTGGATTAAGTCTCCATCAATGTACTAATCAGAAGACACTTCCAACTACTGTCACTTATTGTAGTAGCTGGAATGATAGTCCCCAAAAAAGATATATCCAACTTCTAATTTCTCGAACCCGTGACTGTTACCTTACGTGTTTGTTTAGGCTTCCATGGAATCAAATCCTTACCTTATTTGGTATAAAGATGTAATTAAGTAAAGATCTGGAGATGAGAAGATCATTTTGGATTATCTGGGTGGGTCTAAATCCAATGACAACGGAAGAGGCTCACAGAGGAGACAGATACAGAGAAGACTTTGAGACAAAGATTAGAGGTATGCAGACACAAGTCAAGAAATGCCAACAGGCACCTGAAGGAGGGAGAACCAAAGAACAGATTCTCCGCTGGAGTTCCCAGAGGAAGTGTGGCACTAATAACACTTCGATCTCTGGCTTTTGGCCTCCAGAAGTGTGAAAGAATATGTTTCTGTTGTTTATTTGGCACTCTCAGCAAACATAACACGTGTGTTTTTTCTTTTTAAAATGAGTTCTCAGTGATTGTGAGACAATCACTCGAAGTGTACCAGCTCAAGGCAACTCAGTGAACTTAGAAGGGGAAAGCAGAATTGCCCTACTATAGCTATTAATATATCTAATAAAAGTCACATCAAGTAATCTACCTCGACTCGCTTCACCCCAATAGGAGGAATTGATGTAGTGCTCTAATTGGCCTGCTAAAAGAACAAACTGCTCTGATAATATTGAGATGAGTTATAATTATGATGGATTAAAATGTGTTAGAATACTGCTTCTGTGAAATAGGAATTATAATCATCTTCAGAATCAACCTTTGAACATTACATTTCTAAATTCCATGTAGCTTACAGTTGTGTTTTGCTTAAAGAATTCTCTGTGAAACTATATTATCAGTGGAGTGGAGAAAAAAAAAACTGACCTAAGTAAACTTAGGAAAACAGTGTTTTGACTGGATACTGGAAGGATAAAAGCAAGAAGAAATGTACATAAATACTGTATTCTAATTGGCAAATTTAGTTTTCACATGAGTATGGGCTAGTAATTCAACAGCTACTTTTCAAGTATACTGCAGTTGAACAAGTAAGATAGACATTACAAATAAGCAATGGGAGAAAAATAGAATAAACCTCGTGGTGCTAAATTAGAATCAGATAGCTTTATTGACTCACAGACGCACAAATAGGTAAATACAATAATGTGTGTGCATGTAGGTGAATGGGTGGTAGGTGCGGCTGTATGTACACACGTTTGTGTGATATGTATATTTCTTAGCTCTGTCTACTGAGACAGTATAGAAGCAGTGACACCACAGTGAAAACAAGCATACCCAGTCCAGATCTTTATACCATACTCCATTAAAGGACATGGCTAATTCTAGGGCTAAGTAAGGAAAATGAGAGATGAGTTTGGATTTTATAGTGACAGAAAGTAAAAGTAAAAGGCACTTATGTATATTTATGTATATATTCCCCTTGCACACATGGGGTCATGAACACAGGAATCAACCCAAAAGAGTCCCCGTGATCTAAGCAGAAATCATTTGAGCAACAAAATAAATAACAGTAGTATTAGATTATAGCCCAAAGTGTAAGGTAAATATCTATGAGTATACCCTAATATAAATACTAAACACATGACTAAATGGGGAAGTAAGAAAAAGATCTTACAGAAAAATTCCAAACTTACATAGAGCCTCCCCAGTCAGGAGATGCAGTTTAATTCTCCTCCACTTCACTGTGGGCTGGACTTAGTTATATGATTCCAAATAATAGAATATGGAAAGGGGAAGACAATAAATTTATAGGAGAGAAACCTGTGAGACTCACCTTAACCAAATGTCAATGTTAATAGCACCAGTGATAACACATGATATCACCTTTTGATGTGATGAGAAACACACTTCACCTCTGAGATATTCTCCCTCAATGTTTACTGATACTTCTTAACCATAAGAAAATATTAGATAATATCAAATTGAGGGAGATTATGCAAAACACATAACTAGTACTCTTAAAAACAGTCAAGTTTCATGTATGAAAAACACAAAAGACAGAAAATGTCACTGATTGAAGGAGACTAAGGCTACGTGATGAGTAAATGTGAAGCACTGTCCTGAAATGGATCCTGGAAGAGAAGAATGTTAGTGGTGAAATATGAATGAAGTCCGTAGCTCATTTGATAGTATTGTACCAATGTTAATTTCATTTTGACAAATGTTTAAGATGCTAGCATAAAAAAAATGTTAGGTGAAAGGCATATGGGAACTCTGTGCTCTCTTGCCAATTTTCTGTAAATATAAAATTATTCCAAAATATATTTTTAACCTATAATGTTAACTATGATAAAATCTTACTATTTATTGATTTTGGAGAAAATACATGCAGGTTTCAAGAAATATGATTTCATGTCTTTTTCCATAATTTTTTCTTAAAGATATTACAGTATTCATTTCCCCCATTTCCAATGGTAGTTTGTCCTTACATAAACCTTAGTTAATATTTAAATGAAAAATATATAATAATACTTTAATAATGTCATAATCAAAATTTCTCCCTTCTAGTGGAATTATGTGTAATGGATTTTCTGTGTTTCTATTAACTCTTTGGGTTTACAAGGCTGCCACATAGTTATCTGGTGGCATAGTATTCTGAGGAATTTAAAGAAGCTGCTACAAGTACCTAATTAATCCTTACAAAGTTGAGATAATCTGATTCATTAAAAGAACAATGTGTGCCTGGCACTGAACTAGAAATTTTTAATTACCATTTTGTACTTTGCTGATAACTTGATCTTCAGTCAAAGAAAGTGACTGCCTCTAGGTGATATACCGAAATGTTTAAGGCACTAAGCTGCAAGAAATATAACAAGTCACACGTAAATGACCTACATTTTAAGAATTTATTTTTCACATTTTGAAATTGTATTCCTGGCTATTTGTTTCTTAAGACACTTTGAATAAGAACTCATTCTACCTATCTTTTTAAACAGTTATTTCATGTTAGTAGTTGATACACAATTTTCAAAACATTGAATCACTTAAGT